CCCCTCCCAAATACCATGCCCTCCCTCCCCGTTTCAATGGCAGCCGAAACAGCAGCAAAGCAGAGGCTGACAGTTGGTTTCCCACCCAGAGAGATGCTGGCTTCCCAGGGGCCTCCACTTGCCTTGGGTGGGTTACCTCTCAACCACTGGGACCTTGGGTGAACAGGCAGGGACCCAGGAAGCCTCCATGGGGTTTTGTCTTAGTGTGCTACAGTGAACACCGTCCTGCTGTGCCGAGGGGAGAATATAACTGGGGCACAACGGCTCCTCGGGGAACCTGGTCCCAGGCCACGAAGGCCTTGGAAGGTGGTAACCAACCCCTTGAATTGGATTCAGAAGCCAACCAGCAACTAGCGCACCTCACGTAACACGGGTGGCTACATGGACAACAGCGCCAGGGAACCCAGAACTGCTCACCCTGCTGCATTGTTGCGGATAATCTCCAAGGGTGGCCCCATGCAGAGCACACATTGCAGTAATCTATCTGGGAGGTGACCAGGGCATGGACGACCGAAAGGAGGGCTGCTTCATCCAGGAAGGGGACATAAGCAGGGGTGAAATTCATTTTTTTTGTACTACCGGTTCTGTGGGCGTGGCTTGGTGGGCGTGGCAGGGGAAAGATACTGCAGAATCCCCCTTCCCTCCCCCCTCGGGGGCCACAGGTGGCATTTGCCAGTTCTCCAAAGTACTTAAAATTTCCCCTGCCGTTTCTCCAGAACCTGTCAGAACCGGCTGGATTTCACCCCTGGGCATAAGTGGTTCACAGCCCAAAGCTACAATTGCTACCTGGAGCTACAATTGCTCCTGCTACCTGGAGCAGGAACCACGAGCGTGGTGGGGACAGTGCGAGGGGGGCAGCAAGCTCCGGGGAGGGGGAGCTAGCAAAACTTACCTGTAGGTAGGAGGAGGCAGCTCAGTTGAGGTGCAGGGCAAACACCACCTGGCAACTTAGGTAGGGAAGCCGCCCGGGAGGTGAGGAGTGACTGGGGAGGAGGGTCAGGGGGGTCGTGGCAGCAACCCAGGCCGCCAAGTTACTACCTATTCCACCGAACTGGACCGAACCGTAGGAACCTCCCTCTGGTGTAGAGGCCCCTCCAATTAACCAACCCTGAACAGCAGACAAATCTCCAAATCTGCCACCAGGCCAGATGAAGGAAGTGACCCTTGCCAGTCAATCCCAAAGGCTCATCCCAAAACAACCAGGCATCATGAACCAGGCGCTGAAGCCGAAACAGCGCCCGTCCACCAAGCAGAGGGAGGGGCTGGTTCCCACGGGAGGAAAAGGATCAGCTGATCCCCCCTGTGGCTTCCTCCATCGGGCAGCTCGATGGCCAAAGTCTCCAGTGCAGCGTTCCTCACCCTTGGCCACTTTAAGACTGCCCGGATCCCCCTGCCAGCATCACTGGGCTTCAACAGTCCCCTCCAGCAGGGAGGACCTCAGGAGCAGGAAGAAGCACATCCGGTTTATATGGGAGGTGCCCACCTGGCCTTCCCCCCAGCCTTCGCTGGCTCTGGGCCAAAGGGCTTGGAGGCCCAGCGGTTGGATGTGCCAGTCCTAACCCTGGCCTTGCCCTTCTCAGCAGCGGGCCAGCCGGCCGGGTTTCACACAGCAGCTTAAGACAGGAAGCATCCCTCCGGAGTGGCTTAGCGCTGGAGCCTGTCCCACTTGTGCCCTGTGGTGGGTGTGCAGGACTTGGGGCAGCCCCAGCTGAGCTTCATGCACCACATGGGGACCCTGCTGAGTGGGAGCCCCCTTCTCTTCCTTTTCGCAGGCTCTTCGTCTTATTCTCTGAAGTCTGACAAGTGTTGAAAGAAATGTCCTTTTGGGTTCAGCTCCAAGTGGGGAAGAAGACACTGGAGACATGGAGGCCGCTTGGAAAGATGGTTTTAATGGAGGACAGGACCACNCAGTCAGCTGAAGTAGCCTGCAGTGCTGCACTCTAACCACTGCGCCACCTCGGCTCTTATTTAGAAGTTGTTATTAATAGGACAATTATATAATATTAGTGTTTTATCAACCGTGCTGGTTCTCACGTGATAACTATTTTTAAAGTCCTGGACAGCATAAGATTTGAATATCTGCATTTTAGGGACCTATTTTTTTATTTTTATTTAAAAGAACAAATGTATTTTTGCTAGATGACTTTTTCCGAGTACTTTGCATAGTCTTTAGAAGGGAATTAATTCCCCATGTTTTGGGGGAATCTGTTCTCGTTTTGTTTTCTATTAGTCATGTTTAGTGTTTTATTTTATTTTTATTATTTGCATTGTTTTATAATTTTATACTCCTTTTACTGTTGGCAACTTAGGTATGTTTAATGAATCAGATGCATTTGCTTATTATTTTTCAAAACTTTATTTTTAGGCATGCTATTACCAGATTCAGCATGAAAAGCTCACCTAACATATTTGCCTTATGTAGAAGACTCGCCTGAATTTTTATTCATCCTCCCTGAAATACTTAAAATGAAAACAGAGACGTCAACCTGTGGATGCAATTTCTAAAGCTTTCAAGTCAGAAAAAAAAGCAAAGATGTCAGATCAAAGAAAAAGAGATCAGATTTCGGAAAGCAATTATTTTTTGAAGAAAATGTTACGTAGATCTCAAGAAAGACAAATACCATCCAGGACACATGCTGCTTTTGACACAGAAGAAGCTGAAAATGTTGTGATTTTGAAGGACTGAAATGCACTACGGAACTACTGTATTATTTTTAAATGAAGCTGCCTAGGTTTGTGTGTCACCGGGGAAAAATAGTTGACACAAATAACCTTCTTACTAAAAAAAAAACAGTTTGTGAAAAAAAAATCCTCTCTATAAAGTTATAAAGTACAAGTGCTTGCGTGAAATCGAGAGCTATTGGATTTATTAATTCCAAAGTGTTAAATATGTGGGAGCTGATATTTCTTTACTTTTTTGGGGGGGGGGGGGCGGGGGGGGTTAAGGGGAATTTATTATTTAACATCAAGGAACATTGTAAATGTCAGC